TCTTGGAATCTTAGGCTCGCACTCACACGCGCCTTGTGTGAGTTTAAGCCACCGGGTCCAGGACTTGAACCGCGGTCGACTATGTGGGAGTCCAGCGACATAGCCATTACGCTAACTGCTGGTACCAAGATGTGTGAATCTTAAGGAATGTTGATAATACCTCAATTAAGCTGTTAAATGTGTGAGAAACCATGGCTGATTTAGTTCAGCGTTTCTGAAATGTTCCCAGGATAAATGAATTCCTTTAATGTCAAAAACTCTGTAGATGATTGGATACTGGATTTTAAGACCTCTTACAGGGATTGTGGGAGTTTGTAGAATCTGGCATGATGAGTTGGGGAGTTATAGGTCTACTAGAGAAAGTTCAGACATTCTGATCCTGTCATCTTGCAACTGTGCTCTCAGAGCAGAAAAGTGAGTAAATACATCCTGTCACCTTTATAATGATTGCACACATTACTCAAATGCACAAAGATCTCTACCCTATAATCTGTCACGTTTCTCAGACTATGCTATCTCTATTCACTGACAAGTAGGAAATCTCAGTGTGTGTGTGTGTGTGTGTGTGTGTGTGTATGCATGCACGTGTATGTGTGCATGGGGTGGGGGATCACTTTCTCCTCCAAGTTCAAAGCATAGAATCAGATTTGATTGGAAGTGAGAAGACTATTTGATTTTGTTAAAATACAGGGTAATAGGGACCAGCAGGTGGCATGATGGATAAGGCACTGGATTCCCACATGCCCAACCACAGTTTCAGTCCTAGACCCGGCAACTTGAAAATCATGCCAGGCATGTGTGTATGCATGTGTACCCAGAATACCAAGAGGGGAGGGGATTGCAACTTGGCCATCCCCTTGGTGGGGTAATTTCTCACTTTTCCTCTCTCCGTCTCTCTGGCAAGTGCACACACCTATGCCAAAAACCTGAAAACCCCAAAAAACAAACAAACAAAAAACCAGGGAAATAGCTATATTTATTATGTAATACATTAATCACTTTCTTAAGATATTTATGCATTATTTATGTGCTGTTATGAAATTGATTCTGGAATTTTTTCCAGATTTACACTGTAATTAACCTTTTGTTAATTGCCCTTTGATTCATTAACAGTGCTTAGCAAGAACTTTATATTATTATTTTTAAAAATTATTATTCATACATTAAATCGCTATACATCATTTAGATTGTGAAGATACTTTACCCAGCATGATATACACCTCAGTCCAGCCCAGTTGAGACCACCATACACATCCTCGTCAACAGGTAATAAATCTTATCTGTGAGAAATTACACAGATGGTATACCCATGTAGTCAATCAAGATTTGAGTCACAGACCTGGTGGCTTGAAACTCATGCTGGGTGCATGTGCATGTGTGTCCAAGATCCTGAGAGGAGAATGGAAGAGAAGTGATGGCAGTGTGATCATCCCTCCTAGGGGGGTGATTTCTTGGTTTCTGTCTCTCTGTCTCTCCAGTGAGTGCATGTGCCCTATAGCAAAAATATCTCTCTCTCTAAAGAAATATAGATAAATTATAGGAAGTAACCTCTATATGTTTTAATTTGCCAAAGAGCACATGTGCTTGTTAGAGAGAGACAGAGAGATACAGAGAGAGAGAGAGAGAGAGAGACCTCCCCAATGGGGCACAGTCATGCCACAATCCTTTCTCTTCCATTTCTCCACACTATTGGGATTTGAGGCATGTACACATATTTGCCCAGGGTGTCTTTCAAGCTCCCAGAACCAGGCCAATGTGGTTGACCATATGGGATTTGGCTGCCTTAACCACCAGGCCACAGAGACAGCCGTACAGGAAATAATATTGAATCCAATCAGTCTGAACATTAGCCCATAACTTTTGTACTTCAGATCTCTCTGATTTCTTTATTAAAAAAATATATTTTTTTGGAGAGGTTTTTGCTATAGGGTGCGTGCGCTTACTAGAAAGACAGAGAGAGAAAGAGAGACAGAAAGCGAGAAATCACCCCCCCAGTGGGATGACCACGCCGCAATCCCTTCTCTGTTCTCCTCTAGGGATCTCGGCCATGCACACACATGCGCCCAATGTGAGTATGAGTCACTGGATCCAGGACTCGAACAATAGTTGACTACATGGGAGTCCAGCAACATAGCCATTACGCCATCTGCTGGTCCCAATACAAGGAATATTTTTATCCACCTGTTTGGCTCATTTAAAAAAGTGCATCTCAAAGTTAATTGCAGGTGTCTTGGTAAGAAAATAAATTCTTGCTTTTTAAGTCACACGCGTGGGTGCGTGTGCGTGCATGCCCAGAATTCCAGCAGGAGACTGGAGGAGAAGAGACTGCAGTGTGGCCATCCCCCCTGTGGGGGTGACTTCTCACTCCCTCTCTCTCTCTGGAGAGTGTATGCACACTATAACAAAAACTTTTTAAAAAATGTATATACACACACACACAGAGTCATGGCTGGGCCTTTGAATCACTCTCTCTCATGCTTGGGCTATTTTTACCTCTGGGGGGATATACTTTCACTTTTACTTAATAAACTATCCTTTGCTTTCACTATTGGAGTGTTTCATTCAATTCTATGACTGAAACACCAAGAATGTGGATATCACAGAAGCTGTCCTGCCACGTATTATGTGGCAAGCTAAGCTGGGAGTCTGCTTTTTCACCCTACTCTAATCTCATAATGAAGACTCATCTGCCCCTCTTAGAAACTTGATCTTGAAAGTGAAAAAGACAATAGCAACTCCCACTCCCCCGCAAAAAACACAGCTTATGCCTGCGAGCCACTGGAGGATTTGAGACTTCTCTTCAAAAAGAAATAGAGGGAACCAGCAGTTAGCATAATGGCTATGTCGCTGGACTCCCACGTAGTTGACCATGGTTCGTGTCCTGGACCCGGTGGCTTAGAACTCACGCCGGGCACGTGTGCGTGCCCAAGAGCCTGAGAGGAGAATGGAGGAGAAGGGATTGCGGTGTGACCATCCCCCCTGGGGGGTGATTTCTCGCTTTCTGTCTCTCTGTCTCTCTCTGTCTGTCTGCGCCCCCAAGAAAAAACCCCTAAAAAAAAAAAAAAAAAAAAGAAATAGACATCCAGCTGCAATGAAGGCCAAAAAATTATAAATGATCATACAATGGAGATATTACCCCATTGGAACCTCTGCTGAATCCTATTGTGAGTCATCCAACACTAATGACAGCTCTGTCAATGACATACCTTAGGACTATCTCAACCACCTGCTCCTGGCCCTGCCTACCACTGAGATCAAATATAGCTCTCTCAAGGACACACCTCAAGACTATCTCAACCACCTGCCCCTGGCCCCGCTCTACCACTGAGAGCAGATAGGGTGAGAATTCCATACAATAGACATGCCTGGCTGCCCATGGGGTGTAGGCACTCTGCTGACCCAGATAAGCAGACCCAGGGCTCTATGATGTCAGCAGGAGGAACTTTGAGGTGCCTCTCACCGCAGGATGTTGGGAGGTCAGTGACCTGCCCAAACATACATGCTGGCAGTAGTGTCCCACCTGCATAGATGCGACCACAAAAGAGATTTTTCAGCTAATAAGATCCTCTGGTGTCTGCAGCACTAAGCAGCTAGGAAACTGAGGCCCTGAGAAGTAAAGTGTCTTGCCTAAGTTCATGCATTTTTGTGACAACTTGACTTAAACTTGGAACTCCTTTTCCCCAGTTCAGGGAGTACCCAGACGCCAGAGTACCCAGCTCCCTCGACCTTTAGATACTGGAACTTGTCAAGCAAGTGTCCTTTGTGACTTTGTGTGATTGGGACATTTTAGGGGTCACAATTTGACCAGTAGCATGTCTATAATAAATGTGCGTGGTAACAAGTTTTTTAAAAAAAGTTGGGACCAGCAGATAGCATAATGGTTACGTCGTTGAACTTGCACGTAGTCAAATGCAGTTCGAGTCTCAGACCCTGTGGCTTAAAACTCATGTTTTAAGTTTGTGTGTGTGTGTGCCAAAATCCTGAGAGGAGAATGGAGGAAAGGGGATTGTGACATAGCCATCCCCTCTAGGGGGATGATTTCTTGCTTTCTGTCTCTCTGTCTCTGTGTCTCTCTGGTGAGCGCAGGTACCCTATATCAAAAATATCTCTTAAAAATGTCACAGCTGAACCCATTTGTGTAGCCTTCACCAATCCTTGCCCTCCCTCCTTCTCTACTTATAGCTGCTCTCCCAAATTTGATGGGTTTTATTCCCATTCTGGTTTTCATACATTTATATATTTTTTCATACATTTATACATTTCATACATTTACCATTTATTTATGATCCATTTAATATATATTTTATATATATATATATTTTTTTGTTTTGTTTTGTTTTGTTTTGTTTTGTTTTGCATGTTTTCGACTTTTATATGAATGGCCTCTGTACTTAAACTTCTGCATTCAACTTTTTTATCCACTCAGCCCTATGTGTAAGGGAGCAAATGCCTGAGAATCTTTCCCAGGCAGCAGGACTGAAAAATATTTGGACTTGAGAAGTCCCTTTCCAGCTCCTTCCTGGGCACTCACCCTGACTACCCAGGTTCTGATCTTCATCAGAATTCTTCTCCTGGGGAATTTGGGTCTGCTCACTGGAACTCATGAAATCCGGCACGGTAGTTTGGAGGCCTAGAAAAAAGCAAAATGTTTATTACTTAGGAGACCTGAGAGAAGGTATGGAGACCTCATCCAAACAAAGACCTACAAAAGAGAAATGTTGAGGATCCAGGGCTGAACTCCATTCTGGCCAGTACGTGTCCTTAGGCCTGCATAGAATATAAAAGAGCAGAGTTCCCCAAAGCTGCTGTGGGGTTTCTCCCCTCACAAAAGGAAAGTGTGGAGCACTTGCTGCAGACTAAGAAATTGTCATAACAATATAAAGGGACTGAGGGATGCTCATGTGTTCTCAGGCTTGTCTGTACTCTGAACTTCCTGTTACCTAGACTAGTCATGGTGTCGTAGTTTCTCTTCATATATGCGTAGGTGGTTTTCTCTGAGTAATTTAGCTTTGCCCACTCTTTCTTAGAGAAGTATTTGGAAATATCGTTGAAGGCCTAGAAAAGAGAGAAAAATAAATTCCTGCAGTGACTTGGCAAGATGTGTTTGCCATTCAGCTGGGACCACTTCCTCAGCTGAGACTTCTGCACCGCATCTGGAAACTGGGGATAATAATCTCTCTTGACTGATGTCCTGGCTAAGAAAACATGGGTAATATTCCCAGGCTTTGTTCCTGGCAGGTAGTAGGCATGAACTGAGAGTCACCAAATGTAAAGTCACAGACATGTTGTCTCCAGAGATGCTAAGTGAAGACAAGGCAAGGCCCTGGATCTTCCCCCTGAGACCCCACTCCTTGACCTCTGTACTCCTGGCTTCACCTCCTCAGAAATCTAGCCACCCAATATTGTCCCCTGGGCCACTCCTCTGCCCCTCCAGGTCACTTCACCTTGCATTTCTTCTCTAATTTTCGAGTGTCTTTTCTGCGGCTCTTGTCAAAGAAGCTGCTTCTGTTCACACCACTGGGGACAGTCTGATCTGCAAGAGACATAGCCTGAGTCTCTGCAGCCATTAAGACCAAAGGTTCTGTAGGGGAAGAAAACACTGAGGGACAGTCACATCCAGTGACAACCTGGAATTAGGTTCTACTTTTCTCCATCCTGGGTTTATCTGTCCCTGGGTAGGGACATGGGGAGGAGTCAGAGGTAAACAAGGGCCAGGAGTTTCTGGGAGTTATTGATCAGGAATGATAGGTTTTCTGTGGGCATGAGCAAAAGCAGCTTTGAGTTGGCTACTGTTGTTAATAGTTTCCTTAGAGCTTAACTTATCCTGAAAGAAAGTAATAAAGACCCTTGTTGTATAGTTTTACTGAGTGGGGATGTTCTCAAGTAATATTGGGGGAGAGGAATTCCAGAGGTCATAGGGTTTCTCTGACTGATGGATTTGGGTTCTCAGACGGAGGAATGGAGGTCTGTTCTATTGAAGAGAAATGGGTATGGCTAATACGAATGGGATTTAGAGGCTATTACTACGTTATTTGGAAATTATTTGAGTGAAAAGGTCTGAGATCTATGAAATTACAAGAAACATCACTCAAACTGAGAGAATGTGAGGCAATTCAAGATACAGTGCTCCCCAAACTGAAGACATTGGGAGTCTTCTACGGACGGGACTTTTACGGGTCTCTGGGGCTGAACACATGGCTTTATCCCAGTGGTGGCAATAACGTAGTTTTTAACACAGACGTTATCTGGTTTATCTATGGTTAAGGAAATCTAGCGGTGTTTGGTTGATTTTAGGGTTCTTTAGGGGTGACGAGTTTTAGTTCCCTTGGGAATAGCAATTAGAGAGTATCGCAGACTGAACATAACTTCCGTTTCATCTCGGTTGGACTGCGATCACCCCGTAAAACTTCAGTAATTACTTGGTCCTCAGGATCATGAGGATTTCAAGAGTCACAGTAAAGGCCCACACACCTGAATGTTGTATAGAGACCCCCACCTTCCCTCCCTGCCACCCCTTAAACCTTTCCAAAGTGCCCCACAAAAAGTACCTACCTGAAAGGCGAAATGGCGGTAAGGCGGCACTTGACGAGAAGAGATGCTGGGGTTTAACTGCCCGAATAGGATCAACCAATCAGAACAGTTAGTGAACTCAATATGACCAATCAGAGGCTAGGAAGATGGGCGGGGCAAGTGAAGGACGTTAGGGTCTGTTAGCTCAGAATTCTGGGATAGAAACTTAACAAAGGGGGGCGGGGGCAATTCTCTTCTGCTGGGATTGGCTACATGAGCTTCCACAGGTTTAAGTATTGGTTACTGCGCAGCTCAGATTTTCCTTCTTTGTTCAGCCTACGTCTTTCTATTTTGTGCTGTAATTTGTCTCATTTTAATAAATGGTGTATATGCAGCATATTGCCACTTCAAATCCTTCCCATCAGTCGCTTAACTTACTTGGGTATGGGGTCTTTCCTAGGACCTCCGTAGAAACTTAAGAAATTCAAACCGTTCTTACAAAAATTTCTATAGGTGCTTTTCCTAGAAGACCTAAGAACCAGGAAAATATTTTACCTCTTGATAATAATATAATTTATAACAATAGTATTAAAAATATTATTCAGGGGTTACCAAGTGGCATGTTGGTTAAGGTGCTAGAGTCCCACATGACTATCTGCAGTTTGAATCTCAGACCTGACGGCTTGAAAATCAGGCTGGGCCCATGTTTCGGCTTGGAAAAAGATTGTTCATTCAATTAGGGCTTCCTGAGGAGTATGTGTAAAGCAATTCCTCTATAAAGTCTCCCCTAACCTCATCTCCAGTGTTTCCAGTGGGCCCCAAATGCACCCCCCTCATTTCCATCCACAGCTCCCATCTCTCTAAGTTGTCCCTCCCAGAAAGACAGAGAGCTCTCTTAGAGCAGGTACAAAGCACTGACCCTTGTGCCCAGCACAAAGTCCTTTATGTGCATCTTCCTATTTAATTTTCCCAACCTTTCTTTGAATTAAGTGCCATTATCATCTCCATTGTGCATAGGTCGAAACTGAGGCTCAGAGAATTAACCAGCCTATTCTAGGTGGCGTAGTCAGCATGTGACAGAGCTAGAATTCACTCCCAAGTTGAACTGAGTGAGTTGAACTGAGTTCAAAATCGATGTTTTTAATTACTCATCTATAGTTTCACAAATATTTGTTAGTTGCTTGAATGAATGAATGCATCTTAAATCTATAAAGGACCTTTAACATAATTTACATACCCCCCAACAAGCACCCCACAGTTCCTCTGGCTACTGTAACAAATGAACACAAACCATTTGGCATAAAACAAAAGAAATTTATTCTCTCACACTTGTGGAGGCCAGAAGTTTGAAATTAACTTCTCTAGGTTGAAATAAAGGTGCCAGCAGGACTGTGCTCCTCCAGGGGCTCAGGAGAGATTCTGTTTCTTGCCTTTCCCAGCTTCTGGTGGCTGCCAGCTGTGGAGAGCGGCCAATTTGAGCAAATAAGGTGACCTTTAGACACATGCAGAAACGCAGTTCTGTAAGCTTCATTTGCATAGTGACTAAACCAATTCGAAAACGCAGTTCTGTGAGCTTCATTTGCATAGTGACTAAACCAATTCGTATTCGAATACATGAGTTGTCTGTTGTTGAAACTGCAGAGCAGTATGGGGCTAAAAGGAAGCTACATGTATTTATCAGATTTTACCCCAAAAGATCAGAAAAACTACATGGTGCCAGTTGTTTACACATCTTCCAACAATTAACATCCAAAATCAACTGGCTTTGCATTCCATTTCTTCTCCCATTTTCTGCCCTTTAAAATCATAAGCCTGAGGCCAGTTTGGGGTTGCAGCTTTCTCCATCGGAGAAATTTGACTCACCTGATCCTCACTTTTCTATACTTGTATGTCTTTGTGTGTTTATTTTAATGTTTATTTTTAATCCACAGTCCCTCCCCTCCCAGAAAAACGCATTATGCTAAGTGGGTCCTGACAGCAAGCATTACATTGCCTTTTTTTACTTTCTGCATGTCCCATATCCCTTCACCTCCCTCTAATAAGGACACTTATGATTACATTTTGGGACCATCCAGATGATCCAGGTGCTATAGTTTGAATGTGTCCCTCACAGTTTATGTGTTGGAAATGTAATACCCAGTGTGTTGGGAAATGGGGCTAAGTAGGAGGTCATGAGGGCTCTGTACTCACGAATGGATTAATGTATTTATTTTGGGAATGGGTAATTATTGTGGGACAGGGTTCCTGATAAAAGTATGAAACTTGGCTGCCTTCCTTCCCTCTTTTCCATCTCTTGCCCTTGTTCTTACCATGTGATACCTTATGCCATGTTACGAAGCAGCAAGGAAGCCCTTACCAGATGTGACCTCTGAGTCTTGGGCTTGCCAGCCTCCAGAACTGTAAGAACTAAATGTCTTTTCTTTATAAATTAGCCAGTAGCTCATTACCACTGTACTGGCCCCTTTGGTATAGTTTGTGAATTGTTGGCCCTTTTAAACTATAGCACCATTAATCATCTGTGGTTTGTAGCTTAGATTAGGGTTTAAATTAACATTCTATTCAAAGTCTCTCTGGTAGACTCCCAAAATATTCAGACAAGAAGCCATTTTAAAGCTGAGGTGTGTCCTGGCAAGTTCAGGGAAGCCATGCTCTAAACCCATCTCCTGGACTCCCAAAATATTCAGACAAGGTAGGACGACCTCCATCTTCTCTCTGTCTCTGGCTATCTGTCTCTCTGTCTCACGTTCTCTCTCTCTTTAAATTAAATTTAAAAACTTTTTTTCAAGCACCTCTCCTTAGCTTGGGCCTTTTCTTTCACTTGTTAATTTCAGAAGCCATTTTAAAGCTGAGGTGTGTCCTGGTGCGGTTTTCATTTTTTACTCTTTTTTTGTTAGTATTTTTCTAGTCCCCCCTCCCTTTGCTTATATTTTTAAACCTTATTTTCTTACTCTAAGCTTCACTCTCCACACATTTAATGTCTAGATAGGCCTAGGTGCACAGTAGCTAAATATCTGAATACTTTTAGACTCATTGAAATCCTCAATGCTTATTAAACCTCCTTCTTTAATGAAGAAATTTCTCTTTATAAATCTGAACTCCTAATCTTACTGTTGATACCACATTGCTAAGCACTGTGGAGGAAAGATTTTTGTCACAGAATGACCAGAAACAACCACAGAGGCACAAGAAACATGAGAAACCAAGAAAATATCTCTACCCTAAGGGAAAAGAACAATCCCTCATCATCCACAGACAGTACAGTAAGATTCATGGAAATGTCTGATAGAGACTTCAGAATATTCTTACAGACAAACTAAATGAGATCCAAGAGCTGAGAGATAATGAACTCCAGAAGATGCAGGAGAAAAGAGATGATGAGTTCCAGGAGGTGTTGAAGTTCTTTCATGATCTGAAAGAGGAAATACACACCATAAAAAAGATTCAAATGGAGCTATTAGAGATGAAGGCTTCCCTTCCGGAAATCAGAATGTTCCTCGAAAGTATTAAAAATAGAATAGTCCTTGCAGAAAATCAAATCTCAGATGTTGAAGGCAAAACCTCTCATCTAGTAAAAACAACCAAAAAAACCCCCACAAACCTGAGAAAATAACCCCAAAAGATGAGAATACTATACAAGAAATTCTAGACAGCATTAAGTAGCCAAACATCTGAATAATCGGTATCCCAGAAGGTGAGGAAACTAATAAGGGCATTGATAATCTATTCCATGAAATCTTGGAAGAAAACTTTC